CTTTTCGGGCCGCGGTTAATATCGAAGTTGCCTGCAGCAAGTCGTGTCGCTGTGCAAGCGCAGCGCTGTCTGTGGTGACGCCTGGAGCACTTCCCAGAAGGCCGTAACGTGTGGCACCGCCCGACGCCTCAGAGATCAGATCATGTATGCCGTTACCCCAAGCACTGCTTACACTTAAGGGTTCTTCTACAGCACTGGGGCTGTCAGTCGGCCTGGTGGTTTTGTTGCCGCGGTCGCTGGTCCATCGCCGCCTCGTCGCTGCTCGTCGTTTGGGCCTGTTTGTCGGTCGCGGCGCTTGTTTCCGCCGTCGCCGCCCTCGCCGCCTCGTCGCCGCCTGTCTGTCTGTTGGTCCCTGCGCTTTTTGCCGCCGTGGCCCCCTCGTCGCCGCCCGTCGTCTGGGCTGGTCTGTCGATCGCCGCGCTTGTTGCCCGCATATTTCACCACATGCTTTCACCGCATAAGTTGCGCAACATCGAATGCGCCGCATTGGTTCTCTTGTTTGGAAAGGACCCAAGATCTACCACCCTCTCCCCCCCACACTTGTCGGTTCCCCCGGGGATGTGCACAGAATCCGTATTATCCCAACCAAATCGGTTTCGCCCTCTCCCCCTTCATCTTCCACGCGCACATTCATTTGTCAAAGCTAATCGCTTGTCAAAGCTTCATTTTCATAACAATCGGACAGATCGCGCGCGCGCGTCGTCGCGCGCCCATACCGAAATCCTTTAATCGCGTCTTGGGTTCGCAATGATGTCAAAACCAAGTGTCCCGAAACCCTAACAACACCATTGGTTTTGCGTCAAGCCGAACCACCTTGCGCGCGTGTTGGGGGGGGCGCGATCCTTGTCAAATAAGACCATGGGGGCCTTTCGCGAGAGTCGGCCGCGCGCTTATGCCGAAGTTGTTTTTCAACACCCGCATAACCGACACATGGACACCATACGCCATCATCGCCATTGGCGTGATCAGCATTTGCGCCGTCGCTGGCCTTGCCGTCGTCATCGTCATCATCGTCACCAATATCACTACTACCATCATTGTGGCTGCGTTTTGCCGACGGCGCCATGACACCGCGCCCGCCCGAGCCACCGATTCGAATTGAAGTGCCCCAGCGTCGGTTCGGTTTGCGGGACGCGCTATGAAGTCCCCAGCGGTCGGCGCTACCGCGGCCGCGTCGGTCGCGCCAGACTAGATGGCCTCTGTGCGCGCGAGCTTGCGCGCGCTAGCGCGGCCGCAACGATGTGCCAGCTAGCGTCAACCATTCATATCAATCGCCGCCGCATGGGTTTTGCAAACCAACCTGCGGGCGAGTGGGGGGTATGTCCGCGCCAGTGGAGTTGATATTCTCAAGTTCGACACGGTGTGTTGCACCGTGTAAATTGCACCGCCTAGGTTGCACCACATAGTTTGCACAACATAGGTTGCAGAAATCATTGTGCAACATGTATTGCACTTCCTAGTGTGCAACGCATAGATGTTCAGCCTTTGCTACACAACATATGTAGAATTCATAAGTTGCACTACGCGTGTTATTCAACATTGATTGTACAGGCTTACGCCACATCCGCCGACACTTTTTTTCCAGCAGGGGCTATCGCCGGGTCTCGGGAGCTCTCGGAGGCTTTGCGGGGCGGCCTAGGGGCATCGTGGGTTGTCTGGATGCCATCTTGGGCGTCTTGGAACGGTTTTTCGGCGAGTCGGGGTTCTCTTGGGTTGTCTTGGGGGCTTCTTGGGAGGCCTCAGGCTTTGTCCATCGTGGCTGCCGGCCGTGGGCGCCGCGGCTGCCGCCCATTCCGCCATGCGTTGTGTTGGGTTTGTTTGACCAGGCGATGTGGTAGAAAGAGAGAGGAAGAGGAGAAGGAGAAGGATGCGGTGGAGGAAGAGGAGAATAAGGAGGTCAAGGAAAAGGAATTCGGCGATTTTGGTATCTTTGTGTTTCCTGAGAGGCGTGCTGGGGGGCCTTTTGGGATGTCTTGACGGATTCTTGGTGCCTTCGGCCGCTCCCTTGGGCCCTCTTGGGGGCCTCTGGGGGCGGAAGGCTTGGATTTTCGGTTCGGGCTCCTTTTCTTGGGCCCCTCTTGGGGCCGCCTGGGGGTTCTCTTGGGCTGACTTGGGTGCCTCTTGGGCCGTCTTGGCGACTTCTTGGGCCGTGTTGGGGCCCTCTTGGGAGCCTCTTGGGCCCTCTTGGAGCGGTCTTGGCGGCCGTCAGTGCCGTGTTGGCCGAAAAGGCATATATGCCAAATGTGTAGTTTTCCTGTAGAAATTGCTCGATTTTGGCATCTGGGGCCCCGCTTCGGCAGCCGGTTGGAGGCCTCTTGGAGCGTCGTGGCGCCCTCTGAGGCCGCCGGGGGCCCACCTTGGGCGTCTTGAAGCGATCATTCGGCGATTTTGTGCTTTCTTGGGCCATCTTGGGGGTGGCGTCGGAGGCTCCCAACCGAGCCCGGGGAGCCCAGACCGCCTCGGATGAGTTCGGCGGAGGGTCGTCCAGCACGAGGGGGGG